CAAGCAATGACCATAACCTTGCCCCTTGTCAGCTCTACTATACACCTGGGAATTCTGATCATTCACATGAACTTATAGGCCCATTGTCAAGGCAGTAATCTTTATGGAAGCCGAGTTCTACATCTTTCTCCTGTGGAGAGGCTTGTGGGTTCACATCACCAACTTTTCAGTTGGTAGTGGAGTCCTTAACCACTATATCACCAGGTCTCCTTTTTAATGTAAATTAGGTAGTGCATTCCCAAACAGTTACCCCAGATTATAGAGCACAATGTCAGAGGAATCTAGATGAATGGATAATTAATATATTATCCTTTTTTTTTTTAGATAGACTCAAATATCTGATGTCATAAATGAGTTTGCAGGGAGCTGAAGTGGAATCATTTCATACTCTCTACAAAAATAAGTATCTCTGTTACAAAACAGCATAGCTTATGTCAGGTATGTTTGCTTTGGATAGTGAAAAAGAGGGCAGAGAGTTTCAGTTCTGTTAAAGAAGGTGAAGAGCTAAGCAATCTGGTCCAGTTAAATGTATTCAAGCTTGAGAGGTTTGGAAATCCTGGTTTTCACGCTGAATGCTATGCTTTTCTAGCAATACAAAGTAATAAGAAATACAGTTGCAGGATCTCAACACAATTCTTTAAGACACAGGAATTAAATATCAACATTTCTATTCATACTTGTATTTTATACAAAAATTAGAAACACATGAATTTTACTAGGATTTTATATACAGGGTGACAGTAGCATGTAAATGCTAAGTTATCTATGTTTTGTTGTTGTTAGTTACTTCAAGTGAATTCCCATTATGGCAACCCCATGTGTTACAGGGTAGAAATGCTCCATAGGGCTTTCTTGGCTGTAATCTTAATGGAAACACATCACCAGACATTGTCTTCCATAACATATTAATAGGGAAGCATGCTCAGGTAATTGTTGATAGATTGAGAACAGAGCAAAAATTTCAGAGACATCTGTAATAAATAAATCAGGAATTCTTTCCTGGTAGGTACCCTCTGCTGTATTTGGTTTGGTATCATCTGCTAACCTAAAGGGTTTGAACGCCCCTAGTAGTGCCACAGAAGGAAAACCTGACAGTCTGATTCTCTAAAGATTGCACTCAACAAATCCCTATGTAACAGTTTTACTCTGTAACACATGGGGTTGCTATGAGTTGGAATCAATTTGATGGAAACAGGTTTGGCTTTTTTGGGTTTTCTCTATTAGGAGGATTCTAATGAACAAAACTGGAACTTACCCTGATTCACCATGGTTTCCTTGATCAAGTGTAATTAAGGCACTCAGGACTCACACAATAGGCTCTCATAAGAAAGATTGTGTTGTCTGGAAAGCTGGATAAGTTAACCATTGTCTATACTGAGGATATCACCTAGCTTGGCCACACACACACACACACACACACACACATTATGAGTGTCATGAAAACAATCTCACTTATCAGTATAATAAAGGGCCTGTGTCCTTAATTCACTTTCCAGACCAGTCTTATTAACTTGCTAAAGTAGAACCCATAACTGTCTTTAATTCATAGCATTGTTAATAGAAATCTGAGGAAAGCTCTTTGAGATCAAGGACTGTCTTAGACATCCTTGCATTCCCTGTACCTCCTAGCATTATGCCATTTGAACATAACAAATTAGCAGTAAGTGAGTGTTGAATTGATTTTGGGGAGCAGATCTAAGGGAAGTTAATACTAACCAGACCAAACCCAAACTGACTGCCGTTGAATCGGATCTGACTCATAGCAACCCCTCCTTGGGTTTCTGAGGCAGTATCCCTACGGAAGTAGATTGCCCAATCTTCCTTCCAAGAAGTGGATGGTGGGTTTGTACTACCAGCCTTCTGGTTAGCAGTCAAATGCCTTAGGCACTACGCCACCAGAGCTGCTACAGGAAGTTAATACTGGACCCTTTAAAAATAAGATTTTTTTTTTTCTCATTCTGGACAATTAATTCTTGATTTTAGTAAGTAGCAAATAAGAAACATATTTGAATAAATATGGAAAAACAAGAGTGTTTGACAACTACTGAAACTCACAAATAAAACCTAAAGAAAAGAGAATAAGAAGGATAATACACAAATCATAGAGTTTAGATCTGTAGACTCTTATTTCTTATAAATAAAATGACCATACAATTTATCATCTAAACTGGGACACTTTTGTGTGGGACATAGATTAACCTAAAAGGGATCCTAAGACAAGCATAAATTAAGATAGTCTCAGGCAAACTGGAACATATGTTCGCCCTACTAAAATAGCAAGTAGTTCCATATATTCCCAAAATAAATTTCTTCTTGAACAATCTGAATTAAAGGGAATGCAGTGGAAAGCAGAAATATTATAGATGACCTTGTCCTCAAGTACTAAATAATACAGGTAATTCTTGCTTTTTCTGCATAAAGAAACAGACCAGCTGCAATCATTTTATGTATGCTTAACTAATTATCCTAAATAGTTTGGGCCAAAACTATGGACTTTCCCATAGAAATGTCATCAGAAAAAATAAATGAAAATATATTACTTTTATTATGGTTTATGTTCTCTTAATTTAATTATAGTGATACAATCAGGTAGGTATTCATAAAATTATAATATATATTCTTGGAACATGTAATAAGCCATTAGAAAATCCATAATGTAAAAGATAAAATTAGCTTCTCTTAATATAATTTATGAACTTCATATACCAAAAAAGATTCATAAAGCAGCCAGTTTCCAATAATAGCAAAGCTATTACTTATTTATTTTCTAATTAACCTCAGCAGAATTAGATTACATATGGAATTTAATTAAGGTCACATCCAACTAACAGAAATTTCAGATTATTACCAATTAGTGTTATTGTCCTCTTGGCCACAAAAGTACCTCTTTCTTCCCTTCTCAGTATAAAATTCCTGTTGAACTCTGTGCCAAGCATTGTGTTAACCAGATAAAAAATATATATATATATAGTACCAGCCTTCCGGGAGAGAGTTAAGATAAAGGAAGAGGGAAGTTTTAACTGGTATTACTCACCTAATAGCTGTTGCTCCAAAGAGAGAGTAATTTTCATGCCGAGTTGGAATGATATGGTAATTCTATCTCATGACTAAGCTCTCCTCTCTTGCTTTTACTATATTGAACAAAATAATCTCCAATTTTCTGTTTCAAACAAGAATTTAGCCATTCAAATTTCAAGTCTGTTCACCTTTGTCAATATATAATATAAATCCTTCTTTCTCTCTCTCTCTTTCTGTATTTATCTCTATCTATATTTATAAATCTGTAGGTGTATATAGCCTTGTCTTAAATTCTTATGTGTCAGGTTCCAACTAATCATTTCAACTCATAAGAAACTCAATTTGCAGCATAGGAATAACTATTTCATAAAAGGAAAGAGGAAGAGAGGGAGACCTGGCAGTATTTGAATAAATTATTTTTTAAAGGAAGAAGCAGCTTTGTCTTTCCTCCCTTACAAGCAAAATAATTACTTTATGTCTTCCCTCACTCTTTTATGAATGTTATTTAGAAAAATATTCTAAGATTTTGGCCATTAGAAATTCTCACCAGAGAAAACATTTGTTTGACAAATTTTAGAGAACCTTTCAGACCCTGTTACAAGAGACCTACAAGGAAGTGTTTTGATTTTAATGTTAAGTGATTTGTCTGGACTGTGTTTATCTTCTATCCTTTGGTTTCCTGGCTAACTCTGTAGTATATCGGGATCTCAGTAAGATTCCTGGTAATAAATACAGTATCAAATCAGATTTGTGTGCTTGCTGCTACCTCTTAAAACCTTCCGGTGAATATCAGGTTTAATTGGTTTTTCCAGAAATTTTCTTGAAATTCTGGTTCCACGTTTTGATGGTAATCGACGAAAGAACGGTCTTCCTCTCAGCCATCCTGATAAATACAATAAATGTATCTTCTCCTGCTATAATCATAGGGCTCCTCATAAAGATACAGCTGTTAAATAAGTGAAGATTCACTGGCTTTTTCTTTCAAGAAAGAGGCAACAGTGACTAGCTGCCGATACTGTGGTATATAGAGGAGATCACAGATAAAAGACATAGTTCTTCCCCTTAAAGAGCTGTCTCTGACCAAGGATTCAGTGAGAAGTGCTATAAAAGCACTGAGAAGAGACATGATCACATTCCTGCCTAAATATAGCAACACCCCCTGGGGGGGGGGAGAAAAAAATCCACAGTCATCAAGTTGATTCCAGCTCCTAGTGTCCCTATAGGAGAAGGTAGAACTGTCTCACAAGGTTTCTAAACTGTGATCTTTAGGGAAGCAGACTGCTACATCTTACTCCTGCAGTAAGGCTGGTGGGTTCAAACCTTTGACATTTCTGATAGCAATCGAGTGCTAAACCAATGTGCCTTAAAGATCATTCTTAAAAATGGTAACCAAAAACCAAACCAAATCCACTGCCGTCGAGTCAATTCTAACTCATAGTGACCCTACAGGACAGAGTCGAACTGCCCCATAGGATTTCCAAGGCGGTAGATCTTTATAAAAACAGACTGCATCATGTATACCTGAGGAGTGGTTGAGGAGTTCAAACCACTGACCCTCTAATTAGCAACCCAATGCTTTAACCACAATGCCACCAGAGCTCCTAACCAGTGTAATAAAAACTCACTGCCCTTGAGTCAGATCCAACTCATAGCGACCCCTCCTTGGGTGTCTGTGGTGGTATTACTATGGAAGTAGATTGCCCAACCTTCGTTTCTGAGGAGTGGCTAGTGGGTTTGAACCACCAGCCTTCTGGATAGCAGTCAAATGCTTTAGGCACTATGCCACTAGACCTCCCATATTACAGACAGGACAGTGAAATGCAGCAAGATTAAGCAGATGCCAGGACTAATTTCTGAATAACGGGGAGATCACAGACTCATGAAGAGTCTTTGGATTTGAATTCCGTAATTCTTGCAAATGAGGTGAAAGTGCCTACTGCTGTCCTAGAATGTTATCCAAGAGTCACAAACCCAGAAACTAAGGAGGAAGCACTGACAGAAAAGGTGTGATCAAGTGAATATTGTTTGAGAGCTATAGTACAGCTCACTGGCTTTCATAACTTTGTATTAAGAGGGAAAAATATCCATACTATGAAGGTTTAGACCTCATGATAGTCATGATTTAGTTTGTAAACCTTTACCAAGTACTCAATACCCTTAAGTAGATTTAGTAATATGATCATATACTAACTTAATATACTAGTGAAACTTTTTAACCCTATTATGTTCATTTTCATATAATAGAGAAATATTTCTAAACAATCCCTGGCACATTATTTTCCTTTTGAAATAAAGTAACTATGCTTCCTATTTATTGGTTTAGTAAATGTGCTTAAAATTAAGCATATCAAAAAACTATACAAATCATTATTCTCATGCAATAATGACTTGGGAATTAAATAATCACACATTGAATTCAAGTTGATTTTAGGAATATCAAGCATCTACTAAATTAGCTAGAAAAATTATATGAATTTTAACAATGCAAGTTGAGAACATTTTATGATTTGCAATAATATTAATATGGGTATTATAACCAACAAAAATGCACCTATTAACCCAACCAGTTAAAAAGAGTAAAATGCAATTAGATGTATTTAAATAATCTGTATATTTGGTTTTAAATCAATCAGAAATTCAAATAGTAAGTTATATTTTAATGTTTTTGTATAGTTTTAGTACAATCTGAACAATATATTATTTATATCCCACCTGTGAGGTGTTTTCTATTATATAGTATTAAAATATCACAATAATTAAGTGAAATAGGTGATCTAGTCACATTTTAAGGAGCTCTGGTAGCATAGTCCCTAAGGCATTTGACTGCTAACCTGAAGTCTGGCTGTTCACATCCACCAGCCATTCCTCAGAAGGAAGGTTGGGCAATCTACTTCCGTAGTGATACCACCACAGAAATCCAAGGAGGAGTCTCTGTGAGTTGGCTCCAACTCATCAGCAGTGAGTTTGGTTTTTTGGTTTAGTCACATTTTATGTTGAAAAACTGAGGCTCAGCAAAGTTAAGTGTTTCCAAGGACTTATGAAATTGAAAAATAAGTCTGCTGTTATAACACTAATATATTACGTATTACATTGATGTGGTGCCTGTGTTTTAATGGGACTACAAATTTAAGCCAGAAGGTTACAAGTTTATGAACAAGTGAAATATTTGGGTTACATTATAAATCTCTATCTAAGACAGCTGATAAAACAAAACTAAAACTTTGGATTCTTTAAATTATTTATATTCAACACTTAAACTCATAATAATATTCACAACTTAGGTATTGTTACAGCTCTCTGCCAGATAATAGTCCTTATTTTTATCTTTCTCATCACTAAAAATGCTGTTACTGAAAGAGCATTTTATTGCTATTATTGTTTCATCTTGCATATTGAGGTTTAAACCAGCTTATCATTGACTTTAATGAAGATGATCTTCACTGGGAGGGAGAGGTGGTCAAGTAAGAAACTGAAAGAAGGAATTACCTACTTTGAATACAATGTAGTTATTATTCCATTCACTCACGTGTTCTCTTGGGGGCACTCTTGATGATTCTCAAACTTTAATGATGTGTTAAGCCCATGGAAAATTTCCATTTCATAAAGTGGGAGGTATGTCTATGATAAATTTATTTTCACTTTTTAAAAATTTCAAGTTGTTTTAAATCTTTACTGCATAAGAATATGTTTTCAGTAATATGGCAAAAATGAAAAAATGAGGAAATATTGAAATAAATTATTCATATCACTTACTATAAAGCATGTGTCAAAATTTTCTGTAAGACACAGAAGTTTTAGCTTAGTTTGAATTGATACCCAAAATTATTGATGTATATTATTATTTCCACATAGTGCGTAAGGCACTTGACTGCTAACCAGAAGGCTGGTGATTCAAACCCACCAGCCACTCCTCAGAAGGAAGGTTGGGCAATCCTACATCTGCAGTGATACTGCCTCGTAAACCCAAGGAGGGGTCGCTATGAGTCGGGCCGACTCGAAGGCACATAACAACAACAACAACTAGGCTTTTGAATCATATTCCGATTCTTTTTTGTTTGTTTTTTTTTACTTTTTATTGTGATTTGAGTGGAAGTTTACAGAGCAAATTAGTTGTCCATTGATCAATTCATACACATTTTGGTTTGTGACATTGATTGCAATCCTCACAATGTAACAGTACACTTGCCGCTACTCCCTGTTTTCCATTGGTCCTCTTTTTATCCATTCCTGCATTCTGAGCCATATCCCAGGCCAAAAGCTGCTCTTTTGATCTGCTATGGTTGATTGTTCCAACATCGGGACACTTCCCTGGTGGTATTATTGACAATCATGTTCTGAGTTTTACAATTTCCATTTGGTGTAAAAGATATTCAATACCAGTTATAATAATTTAATATTTTGTACTAGATTCTCCATTGTCTAAGAACTTAAATTGTAAAGAAAAGCATAATCAGTTTTTCCACATGTCATCTTATATATTTACTATAATTAGTTGTTTTTACAATATCATAGAAAAATCTGAAGTACTGCCCTCTAATAGAATGTAATTCAATATGTGTTTTAAACAAAATACATGGGACATAAAACTCTAATTCAGAGGAGAACTTGATCATAGGACAAAATAGAAAATATATAGAAGTTCCTATATAGAACCTAGACCAGTACAGAATTTGGATGTTTAAATAAAAATGTTATGCATTTATATCCTATATACTTGATTTGGAAACTTGAAAACTTTTCTGGTAATTTCACGTTTCCACTTTCTACTAATTTTTTGTGTGCTGAAATATTGAAAGGATAACTTGTTTAATGTTTGTTCTTTCTACTCCTGTGACAGTATGCTCTTATTAAGGCTTGATTTTTAATTTTCAAAGGTTTCCCTCTGCAGGTTGTACATATGGGGTGGGTAAATGAGAGACTCCAAGGAACTGACTCCTCTCAAACCTTCAAACACAAGTTCCTGGCACTGAAAGGTTCATCCTTCTACATTTTCAGCACTCCTCCGGTAAGGACACCTTTGAAATACAATGAAGCATGCTTTATTGGTGATGTAATTTATATTAGAGAAAAACAAAAACCAAACTCACTGCTGTCAAGTCAGTTCCGAGTCATAGAAAACCCTCCTTGGGTTTCCGAAGCGGTATCACTATAGAAGTAGGTTGCCCAATCTTCCTTCGAAGGAGTGGCTGGTGGGTTTGAACCGCCAGCCTTCTGTTAGCGGTCAAATGCCTTAGTCAACTACAGCACCAGAGCTCCTGATATTAGAGAAGCAGCAATTAAATCTCTTTTTTTGGAAAACAAAGGTAGAGATCTTATGTCTTGCCATTGTCCTTTTTACGTAAATGTCTAGAAAGTGTTCTGCTTGTGGATTAACTGGCTAGTTCTCATGTCAAATTCATAAATGAATGAATCTATTTAGTCCTCTCAATTCAAATATCTACTATAATTTTATGGAGGGAGGTTATTTATTTATTTATTTATCTAGGCTTAAAAATCAGCTTGGTAGGCAGGTGTAGATACAGAAGTCTATGTGTATTAAAGAAAGATAAAATATATGGCTAGAAACACGTAAAGCAAACAGAAAAGACTTCTCTTTCAATATTTTAAATTTAACAGGCAATGAAAATTTAGAAACTATTCTTTCCCCATATCTTTCAAATTGTTATTAAAATATACAAGCAGCCTACTTAAGCAGAGCTCATAATATAGATGTAATGCTGAATGCTATAGTTCTCCAATTTCATTTTCCAGGTCCCACTCACACCATTCTTCTAAAGCTAACCTAATGCAGTGTGGTACTCTGCCTAGAAGTTTACCAATTAAGGCAATTTACTTTTTCTGAGTCCAGAAATCAGAACTGTAAACTTAAGACAAAAACTTATAGCTTTGGGTATCTAAAAGAGAAAAAATGATGAAAGTGATACAGTGTTGATTGAAATTTCTGCCATATTAAAGAATAAATAATAGGACACAATCAAGTTAACCCATCAGGCATTAAGACAATAATATATAGCATGTACCTTTCATTGATAAGGTCTGAGTTTTTAAATAAGTTTTTACTCAGAAATTATTTTAGATTTACAGAAAAGCTGCACCTTTAGTACGGAAAGTTTCTGTGTACCCTTTACCCTATTGTCCCTGGATGAAAACATCTTACACAACCATGGTACATTTGTTAGAAATTGAGACAATAACACCTGTGGAATACTGTTAACTAAACTCCAGAATCTATTTAAATTTTACCAGTTATTCCACTGATTTGCTTATTTTGTTCTAAGGTCCATTCCAGGAGAATATTGTTTAGTAAATTTAAATAAATTTATTTTTAATAAATCAATTCTGTGAATTGACATTAAAGAATCATCTAAATGTCTTCAAAATTAATGGAAACTCCTCAAAACAAATGAAATAATGCTCTTTAACATTTCTTGCTCAACAAATTTTTTATGGTATTGTCTAACCAAGTACCACCAGGAAAGAACTTGGAATTAAAAAAGAAAACATAAAAATAACTTCACATAACCTGGATAGCCTCAATCCAGGGTAGGCAGTGAACCACAAGCAAACTTGGAGTATGATTTACGATTCTGTGAGAGTGGCCATCAATACTCTGTACTTGTTACTGCTTCAAGAAGAAGTGGCTCATACATTACCATTAGAAACTAAAAATCACCACAGAGCAGCTCAGCACCTAATCTGAAGTTGCGAGGAGACGAAATTATCTCAACTTCACTACCATCAGATATAAGACTATTCAGCTCATCTACTAAAACTAGAATATACCCACCCTCTCTGGATGGGGGTGGGGAGTAAAAATTGACAAAATATCCTCAGAGGATGCAATTGAGTTCTGTAAGGAATCTTTTCCATTCTGATTAGTTGATAAAATCCTCACTGTATGGTTGGTCCCCACATAAAGCATTCTACATTATGAGAGACGCTTGAAATATGTAATCAAAATTCTATGACATTGAGGGCAAAAACCCATCGAATCTATATTCATTGCCATTTTCAACATCTTTGATAGAAATTCTATTTATTGAGCTCTACAATGACAAGATGGGCAATGTAATACTTTTTATTATTAATATCATGTTTTTCTTATTTATTTTAGAATTCAGTGGCCAATTTTCTTTGCATTGATCCATGTCACAAACACCACATCATAAAAATAGATTGGCTGACCTCCATTACTCAGATTTGCCAGAAGCAAGCAATGCCACCTTTTACTACCATAAATATCTTGTGTAGAAATTTGAAACCTTTTCAAACCTCTGTTCTAAGGAAAAGAAATAACTGACCAATTGAAATCAATATAGCACGCAGGCTCACTAAAACCTGCATTATGTTCTATGCGTACTTACAGCAGGTCCTTGGAGCCTGTGCAGACATATGCCTTCCTTAATTGCCTCCCTCCATTTCTACCTCCTTTCTTATCAAGACTTTATATTCTTTTTCTTTTTCCCTTTATTTTTTTTTTTCCTAAGGCTAAAGTATAGACATTTTAGGAATATGTAGAATGAACCACATATTTTCATAAATACTTTAGGTCTGCCTGATACTGCATATTTAATAAATAGGTGATGTAGTGAATTGCCAAAACTCACTTTACCTGATAGAATGGAAAGGAATGGGTGAAGACTTTAATGATTAGAGGAGTCTTTTCTCAGTCCTTTCATTTTTTTAATCTTTCCAAACATTAGTTTCCTCTGTGAAACTAATTGAAATTTTCCAGTCTGGTACAGAAGATTAAAGTTTCAATGAGTCAAATGCTGTGCTGGTGGCCTGAGAGAGTCCAAGTGCTGCAGTGAATCTCTGATTTAGTCCTCAGGAACAATTTGCACCTTAAGAGATTTTTGTCTCACTTTGTACATAATTCTAATAAAGCTATTTCACTTCCTTACAGCTGGCCATTTAAGAACCATATGAGTTGATAATTACATCTGATCATTATAGCCCTGTATGACTAATATACTAGAAACTTTGGAAACTGCATCTTCTGAATCAGTAGGGATCAAGCAGCACATTTTGTCTTCTGATTGTCCTCAATTTAGAATGTTTGCAGAAAGCCAGGTATTTTCAGAAAGTGCTTATGTTCTCAGAAGTAACTTTCCCTCCAGGGATAATGAGATCAAGAGTATCAGCTCCAGGTAAAAGTTGGATTTACTTAATCAGATTTTTAAATATTCCATTACTGAGGTATGTGAGGTTTGTTTTTTTTTTTTTCATATGTCTAATAAATAGAATGATAATTTCAATTTTCCAGATCAAAGGTTTCATGGTATTTTGTGAGCCCAATTTTATTTTATTTTCAATAACAGGATTTTTAAATCCCCTGATTTTAGGGGTTATGTTTCAGCATTTAAATTATACTAAATTTGATCAACTTTTTTTTTCAGTAAACTTTTTTTCATAAACTTTTAGACCTGCTCTTCTCTGAACTTTGTGTTTGTTGGTTTGTTTGTTTTTAAAATTTTTGTTGAGGCAAGTAGTAAATCAAAAAGGAAACATCCTGCAAAATATGCTTTTGTGAATTGAGAGTATGGAACATTTATTTTCAAAGGTCCATCATATAGAGTTACAAAAAATTAAATTAAAAAAAAGAAATTAATTATTTTCAGAGGCAAGCTAATATAGGTTTGAATATATAAAATTTAACAACTGTAATTTGATTTTGAAAAACTGTTAAAAAGTTGCCAAGAAGTGATTGTTTCAAGCTATCTCTAGGGCCTCAGCATCCACCTAAAGGGAGATGATTATATGTTCCAGTTTAAACAGATCAATTCCAGGTTTTTAATCTTGTTTAGGCATAATTATTAATAGTAATCACTTTCAGTCTTAAACTTGTCCCAATTCAGACTTAAATTGTAAGATGTCCAAAACTGTTGTAGACTACATATATATTTTATATTCAGTTGTCACTCAGTCATTGACATTCACAGACATGGCTGAAAAATTTAACATGGAGATAACTGTTTTTGCCATCAAATGAAAAACGAACTTTCTTCTCTGAGTTTTTGAAGACCTCCAGAAGGTGTATATTAGCTTCCCAAAAAAGACAACCCAGTCCATGATGATTCTGCAAGTTTGATTTTAAGTGCCTATTGAGATTTACCACCCCCCCAAAAAATGAGACCCCCTAAAAATAATGGAGAATAGAGTCTATAAAAACACATTCACAAAAATAATTTTTTAACTTTAAAATTTTATTACATGACATATAACATAACTTTTAGCAATTGTATACATTAAGAAGAAAAATGTGGCATTAGGATTGGAGGAAGAATCATTAACAATCTGAGATACGCTGATGATACAACTTTGCTTGCTGAAAGTGAGGATGACTTGAGGCACTTACTGATGAAGGTTGAAGAATACAGTCTGCAGTATGGATTACATCTCAATATAAAGAAAACAAAAATCCTCACAACTGGACCAACGAGCAGCATCACAATAAATGGAGAGAAGATTGAGGTTGTCAAAGAATTCACGTTGCTTGGTTCTACAATCAATGCCAATGGAAGCAGCAGTCAGGACATTAGAGGACATGTAGCATTGGGAAAATCAACTGCGAAGGAACTGTTTCAAGTGCTGAGGAGCAAGGATGTCTCCTTGAGGACTAAGGTGAGCCTGACAGAAGCCATGATATTTCCAATCGCCTCGTATGCATGTGAGAGCTGGACAATGAATAAGGAAAACCGAAAAAGAGTTGATACTTTTGAGTTGTTTTGCTGGCAAAGAATGATGAAAGTGCCATGGACTGCTAAAAGAACTAACAGATCTGTCCTGGAGGAAGTGCACCCGAAATGCTCCTTGGAAACGAGAATGGCCAGACTTCATCTCACCCATTTTGGTCATGTTGTCAGAAGGGACCATTCCTTGGAGAAGGATGTTATGCTTGGTAGGGTGGAGGGTCGAGGAAAGAGGGGGAGGCCTTCAACGAGATGGATTGACACAGTGGCTGTGATGATAGGCTCAAGTACAGCAGGGATTGTGGGGCTGGCG